TAACAAAATCTTTTCGTTATTATATAGACAACAAAAAGACTTGCTAAGAGTACTAATCACTATTTGCTGGATATAATTTGCTGAATCTACAAATTATTTTGCTATAAGAACCATGATGGATTTAAGCAGTTGCAGTTTTGCTCCAATAGCAAATAAATTTGCTAAGGATACATTATTTTGCATCAATAGCAAATTACGTGATTCTTAAGACAAATATACTCAACAAATTTTTTCTATCCTAGCAACGAAACTACTTCTGCTCTGATAATAAATAATTTCCTGAGTCGAAATTTTGATGCTACTTTGACGCTTTTAAGAATAGTTTGCGCCTACTTAGACGGTTTATAGCCTAGGTAAAACCTACTTTGACGATATTGATAATCATTAACTTCTCTTTTGAACCTTTAACTCTATCTTGTCAAAATTCTGACGCTACTTTGACGCTCTTAAAAACAGTTTGAGCTTAGATAATGTACAACCTAGGTGAAACCTATTTTGACGATATTGACACTCATTTCCGAATCGAAATTTTAACCCTATGTTGAACCTTGAATTCTATAAAATATATATATATATATATATATATATATATATATATATATATATATATTCTATGTAGGACCTAAAGCTTCAATAGAGATTCACAATTGAACTTACTTTGCTTTCTAAGATCCTACTTATACAACCTACTTTGAGGCTAAAGCAAGCGAAAGCGGAAATTTCAGACATCATCAGGGTCAAAGTAGGAGTAAATTATATCATTAGAATTAAACCTACTTTGCTATCTTAGCTCCTACTACGGTGCAAAATTCAAGGTTCAATATAGGGTCAAAATTTCAGTTACACGACATTTTCCCGAAAACTAGATGAAAAATGTTGGTACCAACAAAAACCTAAGTAACACAATTTTAATTTCTACGGATTAGTGACAGTTATTTGACACATATACGCGCAAATGTCAAAACGACTCCGCAAAATTCATGGACTTGCTACTTCAACAGTATCACTAATCCGCAGAAATTAAAATTGTTGCCTACAGGTTTTTGTTGGTACCACCATTTTCCCGCCGAGTTTTCGGGAAAATGTCGTGTAACCAAAATTTCGACTCGGGTTGTAAAGTTAGTTACGTCAACTAAATTTTTTTCATGTCACTGCGAATGTGCAGTAGCAACGACGATTTTGCTGAAAGAGCAAAATTATTTTTCTCCGTGTATACCGCAGCTTCGACACGAGTTATCGCGAGTACATTCTGTACATCCGCGTTACCCTCGTCGGAAGTTACTTTTCCGAACCCGACCGGACGGCGACACGAACTTCTCCCTGATAGTTCGATCTCGATCCCGCTCGTTCACGAATCTCCTGTCTGAGACCCAGTTTCAATTGCGTGTTACAGCAGCTTCATTCGGAATACAGGAGCACGTACACATGGCACGAGTACACGGGACCGCATCAAGAGCATACGGTTGTGCGACGCGCGCCGCAGCCGCCACCATCGAGTAAGTGACATTGATCATTGTAAGGCAGACACAGCGCACATTTTCTCTCGTTGTACTTTAGCGGAACGTTAATCCTAAACGGTCGAGGACGGCTCGCTCACCGATTTGCCGGCGTTTATTCGTGTCCGAATGAGACACCTTTGCACGCACGGCAATGAGCGAGCAGCGGAGTGAGCCGTCGCCACGCGCGAAACGAATTGGGGACGCGTCGGAAGTGTGTCGTTTTCATTGGAAAAGGGAAGGAAAAGAAAGAAAAAAAGGAGAAAGGGGATACAACAGTGATGTGTGTAAATCTTGTAAATTCGACGCCTTGTAAAATCCCCGGCGGAGAAGGGCATCGGAGGCTGTTCGTACTGTTTAGGCTTGACGCGGTTAGTAAACTGTCGTGTTACTCGAGCGTGAATCGGCCGATTTGCCAGTCGTATTCGCCGACTTTGTTGTTCCACACAAGGCGTAATTTTTTCCACTTCGGCGAGAACGCTCCCGCCGGATACAGAGAAGATGGGATAACGACGGGAATAAAGAAAAAAAAAAAAAAAAAAAAAA